CAGCAGTAGCAGCACGGGTAACTAACGGGGGTGGTGGTTTCTTGCGGCTGCTATACGTATGTACTCCGGTAACGGCATCTGTACGAACGCGCGGACGGGGCGTGGGGGTGGGAATGTTTGATCGGTTTTGTGGCGCCTGGTTCGTGCGGTTAGTCTGCGTGTGTGCTCGTGTTGGCGTGTTGGTGGCGGGGGGGCGTGTGTGGGTGTGTGAGCACGCAGTGCGTGCGTGTGTGGGCGCGCGTGTCCTTGCGGCGATCCTGTGGACGAGCGCGCGCGCGCGTGTGCGTAGAGCCAGTGATGATGCCATGCTTACGCTGTATATAGCATCTGTTTTCTTTTCCTGCTGCGTGCTTTTCCTACTGTTACCCGGATGGGTATGATGCATACATGCGTGCGTCCTGTGTGTGTGTGCGTGCGTGCTGTGCGGCGTGCTGGCGTGCGTGCGTGCGTGGTTGTGTGTGTGTGTTGGTGTGTGTGTGTGTGTCTGTGTTGTGTGCATGTGTGTTGTATGTATGTGTGTGTATGTGCGTGCGTGCGTGTGTTGTGTCTGTGTGTGTGTGTGTGTGTGTGGTGCGTGTGTTTGTAAGTAATCTTGAATGAAGCTGAGATGCAAATAAAATGACAACATTCTAAGTCTCTCCCCTGATTATATTTACGAGACCTATTATGCTTGGATGCGTGCCAGTAAACGCCTTACTTTTGTGCGTATTGATTGTGGCTCTTACTGGGGTGCTGCAATCGCTTCAACCCATGCTCTTACTGATGTGTTGCAATCTTCGCCCATGCTTTCACTGACGTGTGCAATCTTAACCCCATGCTCTTGCTGATGGTGTGCAATCTTAACCCATGCTAGTACTGATGTGTGCAATCTTAACCCATGCTAGTAACTGATGTGTGCAATCTTAGCTCATGCTCTTACTGGATGTGTTGCAATGTTACGTAAACGAATGTTCCTTGTTCTTCATATAGGTCCATGTGGATGAGTGACCGAACGCTAGATAAGTAATGCCTCAACAGGCTGTGGTTGAGAAAACAAACATCTCAGGAGAATATAGCAGTAGTTCCTACAGTAGTGACCCTGGTGCTTTACAGTTGAGTACGATGTATAGTCCGTGTAAAAAGCTATGGTTAGCGCTGGATGTGTGTGGGTGTGGTGTGTGTTGTGTGTGTGTGTGTGTGTGTGTGTGTGAGTGTGTGTGTGTGTGTGTGTGTGTGTGTGTGTGTCTGTGTGTGGTGTGTGCGTGTGTGCTGGTGTGCGGTGTGCGGTGTGCGTGTGCGCGCGCGCGTCGCGCGTGTGTGGGTGTTGTGCGTGTGCGGTGCGTGCGCGTTGTGTTGCGCGCCCCAATATGCGCACGCTGTGTGCACATGGTGCACCTGTACGTGTGTGCGTGCACATGTGTAAGCAATTGGTATGCGTTCTCCGCTCGCGCGAGTGTTGCGAGCGTGCGTGCGTGCCGTTGAGCGGTCCGCATGTACTAAATCGTCGACTCTGTGCTCCTTGATACAAGGCTAAATGCTTGCTTCCAGTATACAGGATCCATCAGCAGAGCAGTCATATCCATCATCTCCACGCCCCTTCTACATTCGCTAACACGCAGCAGCGGCAGCGCGGCCAGCAGCGGCGTCTTCGGTGGCTCTCGCAGTACGGAGTTTTTCAAACGAACTCTTTCACGCATTTCTGTGTCGGCTATTCACGCTGCCGCCGCCGTGTTAGCTGTGCGCGCGTGGGCGGACGCGGGCGCAGCTCTGTTTACACACGTCTCATGCTGGCGGGCAGCCACGACGGCGGCCTCGCGCCAGAACTAGGTCACCGGTGCCCGCCGCTGCTGCGCGCCACGCGTCTCGCGCGCGCACACATCCCCCCTCCTCCTCCGCCGCTCCCCGTCGAGCGTCCTAGCAACAGCATGATTCTGCTGGTTGTTGCTGTTGGTTTTGAGATGATGATGTGGAGATGTTGCGTTGATGATAGATGATGATGTGATGATGATGATGATGCATGCAGCCGCCGCCACTCCTGTTGCTGCTGCTGCAGGCGCTGCGGTTCCCTTGCTTCATTATCGACCTGCATCGATCAGTTGCGAGCAGCTGCCGAGTTTCTTTCGCACACTAGTAGAGGAAGGAGGAGGAGGAGGAGGAGGAGGAGGAGGAGGAGGAGGATGAGGTGGAGGGGTAGGAGGGGGGCAGCCACGCTAGCTGGCCGGCCTCGCGCGCAGCGCAGCGTGTAATACATCTATCGTTCAGTGCGAGAGAGCTCCGAGGCGGTTCGTTCAATCAATCATCGGTGGATCGCAATTCAAAACGCGCGGACGCGCAATATTTTAATGTGGGGTCTCGAACAGCGTCTTGTGGTGCGTGGGGCGAGAGATGTTCGCTGGAGGGCGCTGAGCCGCCGCATACATGTAGCTACATCAAAGCCACAGCCGCCTCCGTCCGCGCAGAGGCCGCGCGCTCGCGCCCCTAGCGGCGATGCGGACGCAACGCCGACGCGTAAACGAGCGCAAATAAATTAGTTATTAAATAATTAAAATGAGATGAATGAAATCTCGGCGCGTTGACTCGAGGCGCCGTCCCGCGGGATGCGGGCGCGCGTGCGTGTCGGGTGGTAGCGCATAGGCATCTAATGCACCCTCTGCCCGTATCTTTGCGGCCTGTTATCTGCCCTCGCTTTCGTATCATTGCTGCTTTCTGTATCCACTCCCGGCATCTTTTTTCGCTTCTCTGCATCCTCTGTCGCATGCTGGCAGCTTCTCTGCATCCTTTGTCGCATGCTGCGCAGCTTCTCTGCATCCTCTGTCGCATGCTGCAGCTGCTTCTCTGCATCCTCTGTTCGCATGCTGGCAGCTTCTCCCATCCTCGTGTCGCATGACTTGCAGCTTCTCCGTATCTTCTGTCACATGCTGGCCAGCTTCTCTGACATCCCCTGTCGCGTCGCGGGCAACATCTCTGCCGTTCCTCTGTCGCAGGCTGGCAGCTTCTTCTGCATTCTCTGCTCGCCATGCTGGCAGCTGCTCTGCATTCCCTGTCGCGTGCTGGGAACAATCTCTGCGTCCTCTGTCGCAGGCTGGCAGCTTCTCTGCATTCTCTGTGCGCATGCTGGCCAGCTTCTCTGCATCCCCTGTCGCCATGCTGGGCAACATCTCTGCGTCCTCTGTCGCAGGCTGGTAGCTTATCTGCATCATTCTTCCTCATCCTTCCAGTTTCTCTGCATCCTATGGAAGCCCTGAAACGACATCCGACTTTTGAGTTTCCGAGTTTCCGAGTTCTGAGTTTCCGAGTTGCTAAGTTTTTCTTCTGCGCGTACAACAAACACCTGAAGCAGAGTCAATAGAACACTAATAAGTAGAACATATATAAAATATGGATACAATAAAATATATGAAAATACATGCGCAGATGAAACTCAAAACTCGTGAAAGAAACTCGAAAACTCGGAAACTCAAAAAGTCGTATGTAGTTTCAAGGATGAAGCGCCTGAAGCAGAGACATAGAACACTAATAATAGAACATGTATTAAAATATGATATAATAAATATATGAAAAGGCATGCGCAGATGAAACTTAGAAACTCGCATAAACTCGGAAACTCAGAAACTCAAAAAGTCGGATGTTGTTTCAGGCTTCCCATAGCATCCTCTCTCACGCCTTGCAATTTTTCATCATTCTCTTCCGCATCCTTGCAGCTTTTCCTTATCCTCCCCGGCCAATAACAGTCACCCGAAACGCTCTTTGGTATTACATGTCTACGTGTGTATGTGCGCTGCGTGCGTTCGTGTGTTGCGTGCGTGCGTGCGTGCATGCGTGCGTGCTATGCGACGGCTGAAGAATTGTGCGGCGTCTACTGATCGATCGAGAATTGCTTGTCTGCGTTATGCGCGTGCTGGCGTGGAGAGAAGAGAGGAGGAGGGATAGCGGAGGTGCATGTTGTGGGAAGGTGAGATGCAGTTAGGAGCACTTTGCAACAGCTTCAACAGGAGCATTTTCGCAGGTGTTTTCGCAGGCGTTACACATCTGCTACAAGCGTGCGTGTCTGTGTTACGTGTACGCGCGTCTGTGCGTGCGTGCGTTGCGCGGCTGTCTGTAAGTGCGTCGTGCGTGCGTGTCCGTGTGTGGCCGTGCGCGTTGTATGGGTGTCTGTGCGTGTCTGTAACATCGGCATGAGGCGGTTGGACTCATTCACCGGCGGGCGTCATTGGTGACGCTTTTTTTCTGTTCACATGGTTCATGTGTGTTTGCTGCGTCAAGTCTTTCCTCGAGCGTACCGTCATAGCGGCACTTTGGTGTGCCGCCGAAAGGTGTGAATTCTCGTTATATTATATCGATGTTTAAGTCTCGCGTCTGTAGTCGCTGTAGTGGCGGGTAATTCGCGCCGACGACGTGCCAGCCCGATGGAACAATCACTTGTAACGGCCCCTTATCTTTTTATCATCTTGCGTTCTAAAATGTTTATTTTAACCGTTTTCTCGCCGTTACATTTTCTCTCTCCCCGTCTCATCTCTCTTCCCTACTCATCTTGCCCTCCTACCCATCTGTCTGCACTCATCATTTTCTCCATTCGTTCGTCTCTTTGTCTGTCTGTATGTCTGTATGTCTGTCTGTTTCCACTCCCTTCATCCCTTCCCCCTATTTCTTCTCTCTCTGTCCCCCCTGTATTTAGACTATTTATCACTGCCTGCCTGTCTGTCTGTCTGCCTGTCTTTCTCTCCCCTTCGCTGTAAAGGCCTTCTCTACTTTCTCTCTCTCTCTCTTTCTCTCTCGCAATCTCCAACTTTTAGCACGCGTGAAGCGTTGTGTTATTGATGGCTAACAATGAATCATTAATGGCTTTATTAGAGCATGTTTGCCCTTCGCGGCGTCTGAGGGCAGCGCAGTCTCTCCTACTGACTGCCACTCCAGAATTTATATTGTCGCATTCTGAAACGCCCGTGTACAAACTCGGTAATGATGTTGACGCATCTGCGCCGATTTGCATATTCGTCGTTGGCGCGTGCCAGACGCGCACTCTGCGTGTGTGCGCGGGTTTGGCTTCGTTGTAATCCGGTAAGGGTCCTAGGCTTCTGCCATCTAATAATAATGATGATCTGTGCGTGCGGCATATGCGGATGCGATGATAAACACGATATTAGTTATTTTACTGGCTGTCGCCGCTTGCGCGTACTATGACCCTAGTTTGGCTGCTCGGGTACGTACGACCCTAGGTCGTCTATTATGGGGCTGACTGGCTATGGCGAGTGAGTTGAATCTACGTTGAACCCAATCACATGGCTGGCTGTTATCTGCGCTCTCTACGATTGCCTGTGCGTTGTACTACTGTCTAGACTCTAGCAGAATATGCCAGATATAGAGGGGACTGACTACTCTTGCATGTCTGCTTTGTTTAGCCGGCAGTTATCGGCGTCCCCTGCTCTTGCTCGCGTGTACGTGTGCGATACTCCTGTACTGCTGATATTATTTACCTTGACTGAGGTCACCAGGATTTCCATCCGTTGTTGTACGTGCAGAGTATATATGCGATACTAGGACGTCGTGAGACGTCGTGCTGACTGTGTTTCGCCTGAGAGCTGCTCGTTGTGTGTTAACGTGAATTCATTGCCGTCACGCTGGAGAGGGTCTATGTCCCCCCGGGGTACTGCCGGAACGTACCCTGTGGTACGGTCCGGTATACCGGAACGTACCCTGGTACGAATCTAATATGCCGGACGTACCTCGCCTACTCCACTAACGAGTCTAGGTAGTCGCCTACGCCTACTCCCTAACCCTAATCCTAACCTAACCCTAACCATATCAAATAGTTACCAGGGTACGTTCCGGCAGTACCCTGGGGGACATAGACCCTATGAGCGTTACTTAGACAGGGAAGAAGGCGAGAGGAAGTGTGTGCAGTCGGTGCACAATCCGCTTACCCGCGCCGAGTAAAGCAATCTTACAGTCAATGCGTTGTCGCTGCTGCCCTCTATAGGCAGAAATGTGCGCGGCTGGTGTTTTGAGGGGTGCGCTTGAGAGCGGTGCACGTGCACACATCACTCACACCATCACTTGTACCTGCCCTCCTCGCTTCACACATCACCTGTACCTGCCCTCCCCCCCCCCCCGC